CTCTACGCCTTCAAGAGTACACGTTCTCTGTAATGTACAAAACAGGGCGATTACATCAGGATGCGGATTGTTTATCCCGCTACCCTGTTGACGAAGCAACCGATACTGACGCTATCACGGACGTTTTTTCCGTGTCGCAGCTGTTAAACATTGGCGAAGAGCAACGTCGGGATGCTTCTTTACGAGCCATCATTGACAAACTGGAGTCAACGCCTCGCGACCCTTCCTTACGAATGTTTTTGGTGAAAGACGGGATCCTATATCGCCGCAACCTTGATTCCTTCGGATCAGACTTACTTCCTGTCATCCCAGCGCACCTGCGTTCCACTGTCCTGCATCAACTTCATGACACTCCCATGACGGGCCATTTGGGCGTTTCTCGTACATACGATCGGGTAAGACCTTGGTTTTTTGGCCTGGACTTGCCCGCTCTGTTCGACGCTATGTCGCCGCTTGTGCGCACTGTCAGCGTCGCAAAACGCCGTCTGCCCTCCCAGCCGGCTACCTTCAGCCGATCGACGTTCCCAACGAGCCTTTCTTTCGAGTTGGTCTCGACCTGTTGGGCCCTTTTCCACTCTCCACAGCCGGAAATAAATGGATTGCTGTTGCCACGGACTACGCGACGCGGTACGCAATCACACGAGCACTTCCGACCAGCTGCGCTACCGACGTTGCGGACTTTCTGCTGTACGACATAATATTAGTGCACGGTGCTCCCCGTCAACTTCTCACCGACCGTGGCCGCACGTTCTTATCAGCTGTCGTTCATGAAATCCTGAGGTCTTGCCATACCAAGCACAAATTTACTACTTCATACCATCCCCAGTCAAATGGCCTCACGGAGCGCCTTAACAGGACCCTAACCGATATACTTGCCAAATACATTGCGCCAGACCACCATGATTGGGACATTCATTTGCCGTATGTGACGTTCGCCTACAATTCATCTCGTCAAAACACTGCCGGATATTCGCCCTTCTATCTACTATATGGCCGGGACCCAACTCTACCTCTAGACACGTTACTACCTGCGGCCACTCAATATGCTGGTGAAGCCATTGCCCGCGCCGACCACGCGCGCCAAGTCGCCCGTAACTGTCTACAGGCTTCACAGGCGCGCCAACAACAGCTCTACAATTCTCACCATAGGGACGTGCACTTTTCTCCGGGTTCTCTCGTGCTCCTTTGGTCACCTACTCGGCGTGTGGGACTGTCTGAAAAACTGTTGTCGCCCTACACTGGACCATTCCGTATCGTTCGCCAAGTGACACACGCCACGTACGAGATTGTTCCAACCGATCCAACAAAGTCATCGTCAGCTCCGAGCGACACCGTTCACGTGGCTCGGCTAAAGCCCTATTACCCCCCTTCGACATCATCTGCGTAAATTTAGCACCGGGACGGTGCTTCTACCGCCGGGGGTTATGATACAAAACAGCCGCTAAACACGGCTGAATGAAAGAGGAGGACGAAGTGGGTTTTCCGTTGGATGCTGGTCTGGCGCCATCTTGCTCGTCGGGTTCTGTGCGCTGTAAATAGATCATTAAACAAGTTACTCGTAACAATATATACACACGCAAGCATGCACGTGTGTCTCCAGCTGACCAACGTCTTACGCCGAGGCAACATTAGAATGATGGCTAGTACCTGCGTTCGCCTGATTAGGCTTAGTTCTTTCGACTGCGTATGAATCTGCGTGGCTCGCAGCAGCTTTGCCGCAATGCAAATTCGACTGAAAGTCTAGCAGTCCTGGTTCACCAGCCTTTAGGCTCATGCGGTTTACATGAGTCAGCTTGTGAGATTCACGGCCCCCCATTTTTTCATCACAAGCAAACACTGATCTCCACTAGGGTTGCTGGATGGCGCTTCGCCGCTGTCGCGGCCTTGCGCGCGCACGGCCACCGGAAGTTCAATGGCTCGTCCCAGAAGTTGAGCGTCTGCTACGCTTCTCAACCGCTGATCAGCGTTCCCATCGACGCATTTTGCATTTTGTTCTCACTTAATTGCATTTTGGTGATACACATCGCGTTCAGATCACAACTTATGCTATACCGAAACATGCGACGTTAATATGAAGCAGTTTATAATTGCGAAGGAGAACGAAAATGTCACTTAGGTATCGGTTCGAGAGGAGACGACGCCGCTCGAACGGGATTTATGCTGGCGAGTGGACTTTATGATTCGTGTTAGGATGCACGTCTTACAATAAATTAACAGTCATGAAGGGGCTTGTATTAGTCGAAAACAATAAATCAACAGCCGTGAAAGGCCTTGGATTATCGGAAAATCAACTAGCTAAGCGAGTTCGATAACAACGCGGAGGAAGCTGCCTGAAACAGAATAACCGATTTGATGTTTGCTACGTGCCGGCCAAAAAAAAATCCTGAAATGGCTGTGCGCAGCTTGCTCCTGTTTTACCTTTGAAGGTTAGTACATCGGAACCCTTTACAATATGAATTCAAGCATATGTGTGTAACCAGCAGGTCAAAGTAAATTCTTTTAAAACGCCCTTTCTCATCATTGCCTGACAAAAGGTATCGCCCTTTCTCTAGAAGAAAAATTTCTAGCTTATGAACACATTTATTTCTAGTTTTCAGGGACACCCACCCATTGCGCACACGCAGTGCCTAATGCAAACTGGTCTATCCAGATTTAGATTTGCCTAGTGGTTACGGCTTCAATTGGACATTTTAGTGTAACCCTTAAAGAATGATAAAGGAGGACGCGTGGAACTGCTTCATTCGAATTGAGAGGCCTGCAATTGTACGAAAAACTCATTTACTCAGAACGTTTGTGCACGTGTCCTTGTTACTGACAATGCAGTGCCTGGAGATGGTTGGCAATAGTGCATGCAGGTTAATATTTAAGTATGCTTCCTGCCTCGCCATTGAAAACAAAACAGGCATACATGTACAAAGATGGATTTCACGTGTTTATTGTACTCGAAGCACTTAAGAACTGCCACGTCACGTCACTTCACTGGTGACTGAAAATAATCAACTCTGCAAGTCGCTTGAAGCACTTAAGAACTGCCACGTCACGTCACTTCACTGGTGACTGAAAATAATCAACTCTGCAAGTCGCTTGAAGCACTTAGGAACTGACACGTCACGTCACTTCACTGGTGACTGAAAATAATCAACTCTGCAAGTCGCTTGAAGCACTTAAGAAATGCCACGTCACTTCACTGGTGACTGAAAATAATCAACTTTGCAAGTCGCTTGTGGATGTTTGATCCTGTTATCTTTGCAGTAGCTTGCTTCGCGGCATGGTGCATCCTGATCTTCACGTAGCAGCCGATGACACATTTAACAAGACGCACAAAGTGGTTGGAGTCAACTGCTGATTCGAACATATGGCCATGCAGTTCCGGATAGAGCTTGTTCGTGCTCAGCACTCCCGAAAGTTCTGCCATAACCTTGGCTGTCACAGTGTCATCTGCATTCTTTTTTGGAAGGCCTCCGTCGTGAACCTTCTCCTGCAGTCGAACAGCTTTTTCAGTCAGCTGACAGATGTACGTTGTCGATGACGACGGCTTGGAAAGACCTCCACGGTTTTTTCTGTTCAGGAGTGCCGAACCACATGTCTCGGCAATGGTGGCCGAGTAGCATACTGCGCAAGGTATTTTACGTTTGACCATTCGGCAAACAAACCCTGCGATGTAACCAACGACGTTTCCGAGGTACGGAGACAGTGCAGGGAGATCCTCAACTATGACATCCAGCTCGCTCTCGTCGGGTAGGTCTATGCCTTGCATGAGGTCTTCTGTGCCGCTTCGCTTTGCTGTGGCCATGTCGACCTCATCGTTGGAGCAAAACTGACTGCTCACGTACAGTATGCGCGTATTGTCAAGAGACTCACAGTTCCCTCGCCCACCCTTCACCTGGTTGTGTGTGACAAGTCGCTTGTATGCCGCCACAAATTGTGAGACTGTGGGATTGTTATTCCAGCCTCCTTTAGAACGCACAGCGGCAAAGAACAGGTCAATGTGGTCTTGTGAAAGCTTGTAAGTAAGAAAGTAACGGAGTGGAGCATTGTCCGAGAGGAGGAGCGCGGATGCCAGACCGATGACACTTTCAATGGTCACCAGAAATCCTAGAAATGGAGTTCTTCTGGGCGTCCTGAAAATGGGAACACCTGATCCGTCAGTCAGCCCCCGAATGTACTCCTTGACTTCTTCGAAGAAGTTCATCCAGGTTCCCTTGTTGCTAGGTCGGAGCGGCGCTTTGAAACCATTGGCCACTCGGTTGCGTGAATTGAGGAAATCAAACAGTTTATCGAACATTCGAATAAATTTCACAGTTCCTTCTGAATTTTGGAACTGTGGGAGTTGCAAGTCTTCACGACAAAAATCTATGGCGTCAGCCACACTAGTGCTTAAAGTCTGGACAGCAAGGTTGACTTTCATCTTCTGTTTCTGCCACTGAATGTGTGCAGCACGTAGTTTTGTTGCTGCATGCAGGCCTTCTTTTTCTTGAAGTTCTTGTAGCTGGACAATGTAGTCCCAGCTCACCGATGCGCCTGATGCGTCCCTGAGGCACCCAAGAGCAGAAAGAGCATTTCTAACTAAAGCCCAAACTCCATAAGCGCGAAAATGCACGCGACAGCGACGAGCGACGCGACGTAGATCGGCGTCGCGCGATCAGTCGCTCGCGCAGTCAAACCTCATTCACGCGACGGCTTCGGCGAGTGAATTCCACTGTTGCTGGCATGAGGCCGTCAACTTGCGCCAAGAAAGCCGCGTAGCGAGCGGTTTCCAATTTAAAAATGAGATATATTGTTGTGTAATGGAACGAAAAGTGTTTATTATTGCCTTGCAGCACTTTTTTATATGCACATGCGTAATAAACATTGCGTTATTTTTTGTTGCGCCCACGTGACTTGGGCAGGGTCACGTGCAGTGGATCCTTGGCGCATCGGCGAAGCGAACTACCTGTGTAGTCTTTGTCTGCGTTGTTTTGCTTGCGTCCGTCAATTTCATTCGTTTCTGACGTCTTGAAATGGAAAGGCAAAGGAAGATAGCTGCTCTGAAGCTGCTCATCATCCTTAAGAGACGGCGAGCTTTTATGAAAAAGTACTGGGTCCGGCCGACATGGGCAAATCGAGCGGGTGAAAGCGAGTTTTTCACAGCGGTAAGTGCTTCGAGACAACCGCGTCATAATTGTGGAATTGAATGCATGTTTGCTGTATTTTGCAGATGGAAAAAATGAAGAACGGTGACGAGTCACTGTTCTACACGTTTTATCGGATGTCGCCGGCTACTTTTGACGTGTTGCACAGCCTGGTCAAGGAGAAGCTCACGAAGGACCAATGCCCCTCGAGGGAACCCATTTCTTCTGGGGAGCGCCTCGCGCTGACCTTGAGGTAGGACCACTTTGACTGCGTATACGTGCCTGCACAGCTTTTCATTTTCCAGGAAGTGAATGTTGGTGATGTGCGCTTGTTATACTTGAAAGTATTGTGCAGCGCGTGCCTGGGTTGTCGTGACACACTTCCCCGCATATACATTGATTTGTATTACAGGTACCTGTCGTCGGGTATGCTGGTGAGGGACGCAGCCATGGCATTCCGTGTGGGCATCGAGACGGCGCGGAGGATCATTCACAAAACCTGCACCGTGCTGTGGGAAGTCTTGGCTCCTGAATACATGAAGGTATGCATACAGCGTCGAGCATCTGTATGCATCTGGGTGCTATGTCTCATTCAAAGTGTAATGACATAACTTTGATATGGTTGAGTGAATTAAAGCACATATCATGGTACGGAGTTTGTGCCACTAAGTGATTTAATACCTTATCCCATGCACAGGAAAGGGTGGGCCCATAATGTTTAAAAGGCAGGAGTGCATTCACCTGGTTATATTTGTAACAACATGATGTATAACTTGAAATTGCTGCTTTTTCAGACACCAACAGAAGAAGAGTGGCTGGAAATCGCTGCTGGGTTCTGCAACCGTTGGCAGTTCCCAAATTGCATTGAAGCGGTCGACGGCAAGCATATTCAAATAAATGCCCCCGCAATGCTGGAAGTTTGTACTTCAATTACAAGGTATGCAGCAGAAAATTGCATCAATGCATGTGGAATGTTTGCTGCTAAAGGGTCATCTCCTTCATCAATAGGAGTATCCTAGACCTCAGTACAAGATTATTGCGATTTGGTGCCTAATGGATGCTAGGCAGTTTACAGACCAAAGGTTTCACCTTATTTTTCTGTACCTATCAGTAATGCAGCTAAGTGTTATGCAATATAAGTAGTTATGATGGCAAGTACTTTTGTGACAGTTGTTTCATTGCTTTCAGGGAACCTATTCCATTGTATTGATGGCTGTCGTCGATAGCCAATACCTGTTCAGGTATTGTGGGTGCACCTGGGTGCACCTGGAAGGTTCAGCGATGGGGGAATTTTTCAAGATTCTCCCATCGGCGAGCGACTGCATGAGGGCAAGCTCAGCCTACCTCGAGCAGCCATGCTCCCAAGGTCAGGAATAGTTTGTCCTCATGTGTTTGTTGGCGATGAGGCCTTCCAGTTGCGCCCAGACTTCATGAGGCCACTACCAGGGAGCCGGAGTGTACCTGCGGAGGTGATCTACAACTACCGCCTTAGTCGTGCAAGGTCTGTACCCAGCGCTAAAGAACTCTGTCCTGTCCTCTAAGCTCAATTGTGTCCTTTCTTCTTACTCTCACGCCTTCAGGGTAGATCAACTAACGTGTGGCAAACAAATGCATTTTAGGTGGTTTCATATGCCATTTCCTCGTGCAAAGGTTGCTGCAGCCAGGAAGACTCTTTGTAATCAGTTCAACATCAATCTGAAATCTAGCCTTAGTTCTGCTTAAGTATATGAAGTGCAAGTACTGAAGAGCACCACCCTCAGCGCATGCTTGTCTGAAGCTATGATTTCCTATTTATCAGGGATTAGTACTTTAACAAAGCAAAAACTTTCCGATATAATGAAATGTGCTAATTATTTTTTAATAACGTATCATTGCATCTTGAATAGGCAGATTATGGTAGATGTGTACTGCTTGCAATTACTGTAAGTTTCCTGCTCTAGGGTACGCTACAACAGAAAGGTGTTTTTTTTTTACAGGCGCTGTGTGGAAAACGCCTTCGGCATTCTTGTCTCTCGCTGGCGGATCTACGAGAGGCAAATAAACTTGGAGCCGGAGAATGTGGAGGCCGTTGTGAAAGCAACATGCGTGCTGCACAACTTCTTATCATCAAACGCGGCTTCAACGTACTGCCCTCCTGGCTACGCGGATTTTCAAGACATCTTTGGAAATGTGGGCGGTGGTGCTTGGAGACAAGTACCAGGAAGCACAACAGTGTTTGGACTCGAAAAGCCAAAGGCCCGCAACTGCTCTAAAATGGCCAGCGCAGTTCGGCAAGAGTTCGTGAAGTATTTCAGTGAAGAAGGCTAAGTGCCTTGGCAATGGAAGCTGCCCGGAGTTGCCCCGCATAACCCTTGAATTAACAACTCATGCCTGTGCACCGACCGCCAAGAAATTCGACACAAACAGCCCCTTTCAGGGCTACCCTTCTTGATGCTTTGGCAGAGAGGCCCTGCAGTGATGAGCTCCTTCTTCAGAACCCCTCTTAAATATATTTAGTGTTTTGCATTGGACTGTGGTGACAGTGGGACAAGCTGTAGGCACACATAGCTCGTGCAAGCTTTTTGAGGTAGGTCTAAAGTACACAGTTTCAGGGCAAAATTTTATTGCACTTTTCCTTGAAAAACAATGACAAGGAAATACGGTATAGTTAACAATGCACAGCAGCACATAGAAATAAAATGACTAGTGAATGTGGCATGGTCAACATGGCACAGCAGCGCATAGGAATAAAATAGGGATATAAATTGACTAATAATTATTATCACATTGTACAACTCGCACTCTGGCAGTGTAAAATAGAAATATATCCACACATCTACAACAAACACATTGCTCAGTTTACAACTCATGTAAGAAATGTGTATACACGTCTAAACTCGTACGTTATACCACACCCATAAAAGTTTCTTCAAATGAACACATTAGTGACTCATAACAGCATGGAAAAAAATTCAGGTACTTGTTGAATGTCTTGAACAAACAAAATCAATTTGCAAATGTGTTAAGGTGCACATATTATGCATGCCACTAGTATCTGCAATATCACAGTGCTGACAATATGACCACAAAAACTCATACAATGACTAGTGATATGTTACACATTGCGCAGCAGTAGAACCTGTCGTGGTGCATTATTACACAGAGTATGGAACATTGCGCCAACATGTTACCACGCCACCGATGTTATCACAGAATGGGAAAAAATGAATTTGTCCTCTTAATGACAACCGACCGACCATGAAACTACGGAATATAGGTGAGGTAGCATACGGCACAATATATGAGCATTGCAACAGTTGACTGTTGAGCAAGTTGATGTCTTGAAGTACAAGACACGTGAGAAGGAACAGACGAGTACACTTGACGTACAAACCATCGTGAGAGTGTTTTCATCCGTTCATTCTCGTGTCCTGTGTAGTTGCATTCTCAAGATGGTTTGCATACTGTGCAATGTTTGTGTACTTGAAAGAACACCAGGCGGTTGAAATTTTCAGAGCCCTCCGCTACAGCGTCCTTCTATAATCATATCGTGGTTTTGGGATTTTAAACCCCAAATGCTACTATTTACTTGACAAGCATGAATTGCTGGGCGAGTTGGTAAAATTCTTGACTGAGGTGCACGAAAGCAATTGCAGCACAAAAGGAAGACACCTAGACACAGCACACTATGGAGGCGGAAATGTTGTAGGCCCGTGTGCTCAGATTTGGGTGCACGCTAAAGAACCCCAGGTGGTCGAAATTTCCGGAGCCCTCCACTACGGCGTCTCTCATAATCAAATGGTGGGTTTGGGACGTGAAACATCACAAATCAATCAATCAATAGACACAGCACACTGTCTGTACACTGTCTAGGTGTCTTCCTTTTGTGCTCCATTTTTTTCGTGCACCTAAATTGAGAAAAATGCTACCGTTACAAAATAAGTGAGCAACAAAACCTAATCAACTGGCTGTACTACAGTTACTGGGTTCAGAAACTGGGTGACTGTCTCCAGTAACTGTAATTGTATAACATCCACGAGGTGTGGAAGTACACGTCTCATCTTTTCAACCAGAAATGCACCGAAGCGTTCATGTTCATCGGGCTTTTCTGTGATAAATTTTGAGAGTTCTTCAATTTCGTTATCGTATTTAGAACGCTTCGGTTTTTTTTTTTGGCGGTGGTGGTAAACCCGAACTGGTGGCCGTCCCCTGATTTCCAGGAAGCTCATCACACACGTCTTCAAGAATGCACTCTGGTGCCAGAACATCAGGTGCACTCTCCTTGAAAGGCAGGGGTTCCACGTTCCCACTTGTCCTATAAGGTAATACATAGTATGCCTCTCAGCACAATTTTCAACATGCAACACCAGCTTTTGAGCTGCGACTTCTCTAAGTATTGTATTTATCTTCATTCACGCCTTTGTTTAGAGTAAACTAATCTGAATGAGCGTTTGGCGTAAAAAAAGGTCGATTACTTACGGCCTCCCTTCCATTGTCTCCTTAAGAAACAGGAGCCTACTAAAAAAATGCCATTTAGTAGACTCGTCTAATTCATCGTCGGCAGGCGCCCCGCTCTTCAGTGCGCGTGTCCGCTCCTTAAGGACACGCCTGAAGGTGTCTCGAAGGTTCTTCCACCTCGCCTTCACTTCAGCAACTGCGCATAAATCAAGGAAAGTTGTACACCATGCCCGCACACAATGGCCATGCAGCAGTTTTGGCGCGAACGTCGCTTGTACGCAGATTGCAAAACACAACTCACCAGTGGATCCCATCACTGTTGCAACGTGCCGCCAGGCCGCGTCAGTGACGGCGCGGGACTTGTAATTCCGGTCGCGTAGGTCCCATAGCGGCCGTTCTCGTTCGATTACATCAATGAGGCGCTCATTGTAAGCGTTGCGCTCATCACCGTTCGCCATGTTGGGATAGTTGTGAGAGCACGCTGAAAATCACGTGGAAACAACCGGCAGTACGTCACTGATGTATATCCTTTTCCGGTTTTTTTCTATTGGCTGCTTGAGCCCAGCACTTCCGGGCGATGAGCGACGGTTTCCAAATCTGGAGAACCGAGCGATCGCGCGAAAATGAGTACGCGACACGTCGCGCGACCGCCCTGTTTCGTCGCTCATAGCGTCGCTCGTCGCTGTCGCGTGCATTTTCGCGCTTATGGAGTTTGGCCCTGACTTGACCATGTGACATGCGTCTAAAAGGCAGTACACCTTTTCTTGTGTTACAGGGTGAGGGAATGATGTTGACATCGCTGATGCATCATCAACGGAAGCCCCCAGGTCTTTGAACATTGTAAAGTTACAAGGGAGACCATCACATGTCAATGATGTCACGTGCACTCCTGTCTCATGCAACTTTGTCAGACAGAGCTTCACAATGTTCGCACGCTTTTTTCCTGAAAGACCATTGATCAAAAAATAGCCACACGGTACCTTCCAGTGGGAGTCCAGAGATACGAGCATGAAAACAAGGGCTTCAGATGCAACTGCGTTACTGTCATCGTCCACTTCATTGCCAATATCCACGTAGCCTCGAAATTTTTTGCCGTCCCATTCAAGGTGCTTTCTAATGGCCATTTCATCAACAACAAGGTTGCAGAGAAGCTGTTTGTTGTTCTTGTTAGCCTCATTGGCTTTTGCTCGGATGGCGTTGATTGCTTCGCTTGTGAATCCAGGTTCTCCGTTAATGGAGCTATACCATTTAGTTATAGTCGATGGATGTGGCAAGGAACATTGAAATGTTTCTCTGACATAGTTATATGCCTTTGTCGAGTAAAACTGTAGCGTGAGTGCAAATGCACGCAGTGCAGGAGAATACTTGTCTCGGCTTAACTTAACAGACGACTTGTCGCCTTCACTGGATGTTTGCTTGAGCAACCGTTTCGTAACTTCCAAGGGGATCCCCGTGAAGCACCTTTCAAGCATTGCCGAGGCATCTTCTGAAATGAGCTGCTTGTGCTTGAGGTCATCAATTATTTCATTAAATGAGCTGACCTTCCTTCTTAACCGACGTTCTCGTTCAAGGCTGAGCTTCAGCTTTCTTTTCACTGTAGCCGCTGAATCTGTGCAAGCATCCAGTTTCCTCTTCAGTGTTTTTGGCGTGTCAAGGACTGCATAGCTGTGCTCGGCGACCTGAAAACAAAACAGTGAAAGTTAAAGCTGTTGAAAAAGACACCTTTCACAAAAACCACTCATCATATGACAGTCTTTGTAAAGCAGGCATCTGTTCGTAGCTTACGTGGTTTAACGCAGAAAATAAGCAACCAGGTGCACAGGGGAGTTTAGAAATTAACTTTGTCCCCTTCATTTACCGGTGCACTCGAGAAATGCCACATCAGACAAAAATTTCAACATTTTTTCTGGATTAGAAAAACTGGTGCTGCAGCCATGAATAAAACCAATGTTCTGCTAAGACTACAGAACATACCAGGACTACTAACTTGATTCAAATTGGATGCTATCCTGGTGTGCATAATGTATACAAAGTTATCGTGTTGGTTACCACGAGATTGCAAGAAAGTGGCCTGGCTAACATCGGACTAGCTACATTCAACCGAGGACGGACCAAGTAGCTGCACTCGGGCAGCGTAGTACAAAAAAAAGGCAACTTGCATAGCTGAGTTCTCTTGCACCGTGGTTGGAGTGTTGTCGCTTGGCTGTTCCACTGGGGTCACATCCACAATGGCAGTTCTCTGCTTAGGCGGCTTTCTCTCAGCAGTCCTCTGAAACAGCCGTGTTTCATTCACAGTTATGCTTATTTATTACAGCGAGTGCAAAATGCTGTAAGTAAAAAAATATTCTGGCGTCAAGCATATTATAGCAGTCTAGCAGTTTCTGAATGATACCACTAGCATCTTAGACAGCTATCATAGCACCACTGAGATATATAACGCAGATAGGAGCATTTCAGAAATTGAAAGAAAAAATTGGGCACTTAAAATTCAAGACCTCGCGCTTTGTAACGTAATGGACACGTTTTTCCGATTCCGTTTCATTGCTTACAGTACATGGTTTTCAGATTAAGTCTGCCAAACAATTCCTCAACCACAGCTTCTCACAGCTACATGTAGATTTTATTGTGCTCCGAGCTAATTTGTAGGGCGTCATTTTTAAAGGGACTCAGCAGATGAACTACGAAAGAAGGTAGCGCCCATTCAGGCGATTTCAGTGTCTAATAAACGTAGCATCAACTGTAGGGGTAGTTATACGAACGCTAAACAAGTGAACTGCGATGGCCGAACAGTATGCTTTTTTTTTCGGGGCCGCTATACCAAAATGCCGAGATGTCGTACGATACCTTTTCCAGGTGCTTCGGGAAAGAAA